ATATCTAATAAAATTTTTTTTCATATCTAATAAAATTTTATATATATATATATATTATATATATACACACACACTTTATTCATGTATAAGGGAATCTGTGCTCATATTGCCCACCTCCTTGGTTTCCCCTACCAGGCATTTCCCTACTCATGTTATTGCCTTGGTGGACTAAGGATGAGCACAGAGTGTTAAAAGGATCAGCACAGATGCTTAAAAGAATGAGCACCGGGGGTTTAAAAGGAGAACTATGGGGTCAGTGTTTTTCCCCATAGTTCTCCTTAGGGTAACGGGAGGACACAAACTAGCGTCCTCCCGTTACCCTAAGCTCAGTATACCGCGAGCTACAGCGAGCTGAGACGCCGCAGCCCATCCCGACCTGGACGTCGGGATCCGCCCAGCTGCGTGAGTGACAGCAGGCTCTGCCTATCTAGAGGCAGAGCCAGCTGCCCCCCCCCCCCTCCCCCGTCCGTTCTGCGAGTCAGCGCTGGCAGATTGGAGCGGGGAGAGGGGAATCCAGCCCCTCCCCTGTCACGGCAGAGAGCCGTGACAAGATCGAGAGGTGAGCGAACGCCGGTATGTGTTCGCTCACCTCCCAATCTACTGAGCCGACCTGTGACAGTCTCATTGTCACAGGTCGGCTTAGAACTATGAGGTGAGTGAAAAGCACTCACCTCATAGTTCTCCTTTTTAAGGATGAGCACAAAGGAAAGCTTAGGGCTGGTTCACAGCACAAACAGTGCATTCCAGAGCAGTCAGCCTCTGTAACGCACTGTATCGCATTCCGGCCGGCTTCCTGCGTTCAGTGGCGGTGTGTTGAGGTCAATGACACTGCAGCCCCGCCCGCAATGCGATCACCCTTTCAGAATTGGAAAAATACTTCATCACTTCAGCAGGGGGACTGTTTCACAATACATAGGGGTCTCCTGGACACTGCCCCTCTCTGTCTCCCTGCTGAATGAGGCAAGAGGGCCAGCTCTGTGCAGTAAGGATGCACCGACCCACTGAAGAAGGGGTTGCAACCCACAAGGCACTAGTGCGCATTAGGTTGAGCCTTGTTAAAAAAAAAATGCACATCAGATTATAGGTGTGTTGGCAAATGAATAAATAAAATAATTGGAATAAATGGGCCGATCTAAAACAACACATGTTCATTAATTCATTGGATAGGTCTGAGTGTACCCTCAGAATGTATGTTGAGCCAAAACATTTTTTAGGCATTTGATAGAGTAAGGAAGACTTAAAAAGGAATTTCCATTTATTCCCATTACATGAATTATCCTCGCCTATTAGTCTGGTGACGACACTAAAATGTTGTATTTCCCGTCACTTTGTCTCAGTGAAAATGATCATCAGAACAGAGACGTGGTCTACCTAACAGGCACACAAACACCAAATGAAATTCAAAGTAGTCCTTAAAAATGTTAAAAAGACTTTCCTTTTTAAAATAACTAATCCATCCTTTAATCATAAAGAAAAAAAACAGGCGATCCTGCCAGTAAAACCATTTCCTCAAACAGGGTAACAAAGCCAACACTTCAGCATAAGTTATGAAGGTGGGTTATCGTGGGCTCATGAGACCTCTCCCCTGGAAGAAATATGATTGTTTCAGCTCTTTTATCATGTATCATGAGCTAAGAAGAGGATAA